AACTTGCAGCCTGAAGCCTAGAATTTTTCAGAGTACTTTTGAACAAGCTCATACTGCTTGTTATTACATGTGCATATTTTAAAAATTCCTATTCAGTGACATTACAATGACTTTGACTATTTCTGATTCATAAGGTGAAAATTTCTTTAACAAAATTGTTAGAAATAATGTCAATGTCCAGTTCTTTTAATGCATTTTTTTTTTCTGTTTTGGAACATTACAAAAATAGTCTTCAGTCAACAGAGAGCTGCATGAACACCTGTATATTTTCATGTTTGTTGACCTTCCCTTGAATTTTGGCATCATTGCTGCCATTTGCATTAAAGTCCCCTAGATGATCTGCCCAAAAGAGGCGATTGCTGTTGGCCTATTTCATTTCTAAGAGATTCTTTCTCCCTTCTCAGTCTTCCTGTTGTAAAGGGCATTTGCCCTGAATATTATGATTTATTTGTGTGAGTTTAAATGTGGTAATACCATTTGGTAAATTTGTGAGTCTTTAAAACAATTGTTCTTCTGGACTCTGATTTGATACTTGAGATGCATAGCAGGGAAAAGGGACAATCCCTGCATAAACAGGTGTATTCATCCAAGTGGACTAATTTCTAAATAAATCTGAATTCCCTTTGTGTCGTTTTTGATGAACTTAGATTTTTATTTGTTTAGAATCTTCATAGTGTGGTGCCAACTTTCAGTCTGAAATAGCCATGAAGACTTGAGTAGATAATCATTGACAGACTGCACATGTTTTCATATAGGGGAACTCTATATAATAGCAAAAATTCCCCCATCTATAATAAATAATTGAAAGATTCAATTCTCTATGGCTGCCAATGAAACATTAAAAAAATAGAAGTAATTCAAGGAGCAAGACCCTCAGGATAAAGCTAAAAATATTTTATGTAGGAAGGAGAATCCAGCTTTCTTTTTGATTCTATGTTTTTAAATTTTAATTAAAAATATCATTAGATTTCTACTTATATAAATAATGAAAGGTTGTTAAATCCAAACAATAGAAGTTATGAAAAAGTAGAGCATTTGAATGATAGTTCTTCTTATATACAAATATATATATTTTGTATAAAATTATGCATACTTTTTTATCTTAGAGACTTTAAAAAAAAATTTCAGGCTTCATTCCTCTGTATTTTTTCTTATTGTTGTATGAAGGTGTACATCATTTACACTCTTGCATCTTATTTGTCTTAGTTAATAGTACATCATAGAGTCCCTTTATCTTTCTGTTTTCTGCTGGTTTATTTTGACCTCTATTTCTTCAGGCAACTCTTTAGTTTCTGTATTTTCATTATTTCTTCTTTAATAGTTAAGGAGTTGCAGGCTAACAATGTTCAAATTTTATCTGAGTCATAGATTTGTTATGAACTGTTCTTCTCTTCATTAATATTCTAGATAGAGTATAATTTTGATTTCCTCTTTGAAATATGATGAGTAAAAATCTTTACTTTTTAAAACATCTGACAAAGTTTTCTTTGTGACCAAACAGACCTTTATTCGAGGGCAAATGTATTTAAAAATATGTATCTGTGTGCAAATATATCTATATATTTATGTATACACAGACACCCACAATGACTATATTTTGTCATCACTATTTTTCAACATGTATCCAGAGATTCTGATTTAATTAGTCTGAGTGTCATATGTGCATTGGATTTTTTAAAGAAGTTTCTCAGGTGATTCTGATATACAATCAAGATGAATTACAGTTGCCATAATGAAATAATGAGTTCAACCCAGGGGTCCTCAAAATGTGAACCAGCAGCATTAGCATCACCTGGAAACTTGTTTGACTGTAAATTCTTGGGCCTCACCCTAGAACTACTGTGGATGGAACAAACCGTTTGTTTTTTTAAATCATTATTTTAATTAGCACATAATAATTATGAATACTTATGGGGTGCAGTATGACATTCCAATACATGCTGTTTGAGATTTCAGTGTGCAGCGACTAAATCAAGGTATTGCGTATCCAACACCTGAAACATTTATCATTTCTTTCTGTTGGGAACATTCAGAATCCTCTCTTTTAGCTATTTGAAATTCCTTGATATTGTTAACCATAGTCGCCCTGCAGTGCTATCGAACGCTATAACTTACTTCTCCATCTAGCTGTAATTTTAAAATGAAATTCTGTCATTTGTAGCAACATGGTTGAGCCTGGAGGACAGTATGGTAAGTACAATAAGCAATCTGGGATTTAACAAGCCCTTAAGGGGATTCTACCTCACTAAAAACCGAGAATGACTTATCTGGATCAGTGGCTCTACCCTGGGGGTAACTTTATTCTCTGATGGACATTTCGCAATGTTGGAGACACTTTTGGTTGTCACAGATGGTGGGAAGCTACTGCTGGGATTTAGTTGGTAGAGGCCAGAGTAGCTGAAAACATCCTGCAATGCGCAGAACATCCCATCCAAGAATCACTCAGCCCTAAACATCAATAGTTCTGCTGTGGAGAAACTTCCCTAGTTTCCAAGTTTTGGCTTCCCATTCCTGCCAGCTGGAGAGTTTTTAAAAATCCCAACTACAGATCTGTTTATTTGGGCATTGGTGAGAAAGCACCATACAGATTTTTAAAAGCTATGCATATGGTTACTATACACAGCCTGCATTGAAAGTCACTGTTCTGGACACTGGTTATTGATGGACCTAAAACTCTTAGGTGATAATGGATGGATTAGAGTGAACATGAAATTGCTGATCCATTTTTGTCTAAAAAAGACAATTATATAGCTCCTGTTGTTGTGATAGAATAGGAAATACAAACATCAATTTCTGAAATTTTCTTGTGAAATCAAACTTGAACGAGTTTCTAGATTTCTATATCTTACTACCGATGTAGAAGCGCATGCTTATAGATACCGTGGGGATGCAATCAGTTAAATCCAGATTGTAGCAAGTACTCCAGGACAAATGACACAGACTATGTTTCATTAAATAAGATCATGAAGAAGTAGAACAAAGGAGAGGGATTTCTAAAATAAAAGAAACTGAAGCCACCTAATGAATAAGTGCATCTTGTCTGGAACCGGGCTCGGTGGCTCAGCCTGTAATCCCGCGCCTTTGGGAGGTTGAGGTGAGTGAATTGCCTGAGCCTGCGGGTTCGAGACCCGCCTGGGTAACTTGGTGAGACCTCATCTCTACAATAAATCAAAAATTAGCTGGGCGTGGTAGCGCGCACCTGTAATTCCAGCTACTTGAAGACTGAAGCGGAAGGATCGCCAGAGCCCAGCAGGTGAGGCTGCGATGGTTGGAAGTGGCCACTGCACTCCAGTCTGGGCGACTGAATGAGACTCCAACTCAAAAAAAAAAAAAAAGAAAGAAAAAGGAACGGGGAATGGGGGGAGGATAAAAGACATTTGTAAAACAATTTGGGAAACTTGAACACTGAGTAGGTGTTTCATAATATCAAATAATATTTTTTTAGGATTGTATGTGGAAGAGCAACTAGAGGCTATGAGCAAGGTTATTCCTATGTTAATTATTGCTGAAGTTATATGCTGAGTGTATGGGAGTTTATTTTAATATTCTCTCCCCCTTTGTTTATGTTTAAAAAGTTCCTTATTAAAAAATCGTTAGAATAGAAGGAATATCTAAACAGGTAGGAGGAAAAGCAGGTGAGAATAGTGGTACAAATACCTTCAAAAAAGTAGGAGTTTCCACAGTGTAAAAGATAATAATAATATGGTCTGTTGGATTTGGTAACATGAAAGTCAATTGATGACCTTAGCAAAATTCTGTTTCAATGGAGAAATAGGTGGAAAATGGCAAGAGGCAACAGTGAATCAGAAAAGGGGAACTAGGGGAAGAAAATATGAGCAGGCATGGTATTATTGTTGCTGTGTTTCAGAGAGAACAGACTTGCTTGTGTTTAAATGATGGATGAATCTTATTGATTATGGTGAAAACTTGGGAAAGAAACAGGGCATGTGTATCTGCTTTGGTTTCCTTGAACCAATCTCAAATGTGGGCACAGAGATCAATTTGGATAATATATATAAATTACTTAGCTTTACGCTGGATACAGTGGATCATACCTGTAATCCCAGCACTTGGAAGGCTGAGGCGAGAGGATTACTTGAGCCCAGGAGTTCGCAATCAGCCTAGGAAATGTAGCAAGACTTCATCTCTACAAAAAATAAAAAATCAAGTCGAGTTTGGTGGCACTCACCTGTAGTCCCAGCTCCTTGGGAGGTTGAAGCGGAAGAATTGCCTAAACCCAGGTGGGTGAGGCGGCAGTGAGCTGTGATTCTGCCACTGCACTTTAGCCTGGGCAACAGAGTGAGACCTCCAACACAAAAAATAAATAACTTGGCAGCATGTATGGCATATTCACAAATTATTATTATGAGGGTTTTAGAATTTGAGTGCATGTGATATGCATCCAAAGAAGTTCCTTTTTGTGACTTTTAAAATATTTATATGTTAATATAAATTACAGCTTGCCATATTTAAATTTTAGGAATTTGTGCTCTTACATTTCTTTAAAATGCTTTAGATAATCTAAAGCAGAATTTGGAACTGCAAGTAATTATATACATGTGTGAAATAATCATGTTTCAAACTTTGCCTAAACTGATAGAGTACTTTCATGGGCCTAAATTAGATGAGTAGTATGAAATTTATTCTCTGTGAGAGGAGAGAGGGAGGGAGGGAAGCTGGGAGGGGCGGAGGAAGGGAGTGACGGAAGCAGAGAGAGATTTTAAATGAAAGTAGAAGGAAAAAATGACAAGAGAGAATATGTTTAAATCACTGTTTATTCATGACAAACTTAGGTTGATCACGTGGGTTGTTATTTTGGTTATTTTTATTACCAGCTATATTGTCTCCTGCCAAAAACGAATGACTATTTATCCACATGCTTTCCCATTTGCTTTTCTTTTTTAATTTGCTTGAAAAAGAAGAGTCCAAAGAACAAAATATGTTTAACTCAAAACTGTGCTTTTTTGTTTGTTTGTTTGTTTGTTTGTTTGTTTAAACAGAACTGTTCATTATGAAGGCGGTGCCGTATCTGTTCATGCACGTTCCCTTTGGAGACTGGAGACACTAAGAGTTGCGTAAGTAGAATTCTAAACACAGCTGACTGCTCCGGGTGTACAAAATACCTCAGTGCTCTTGACCTCTGCTTCTATGTGAAACTGTCATGATGTCAACTACAGCAAAGGAACACTGAAAAAGTGATGGAGAGCTTCTTTCTTTTCCCCTTCCACCTGCCTTTATTTTTCCTAAGCCTAGGATCACCAGCTGGTAAACCTGAAAAATAAGCAATAATTTTGTACAGTCTGCTTTTGTCTTTAGCCTCATTTGTTTTTGTAACATCATCTGATCTCAAACCATGCATTTCTTGGCAGAAAGTACTATAGGACAGAGTGATGTAAGGTTTGGAGACAGGACAAGTCGTTTGCAAGCCTCTCATACACTTCAGGTCTGACAGACTTTGAATTTAGCCTTCTACAGGTACATTTAAAACAGAAGCTTCTTGGGCTTGAAAAATAGGACAAAGTTATTACTGGCAGTCACTATATTTACCTAAATTTGATAGCTAAGTAAAAAATCTGGATTGAAATTAAAGTCACTGTGTACTCATTATAATAATAAGAATATTTATGTATTTATATATATTTTTTCTTTTTTCCCCCAGTAACTTCAAAATGCTCTCCAGATATTACCTTTTAGTTCCTTTAAATAAATACAATATTGATGATAAATGTGACATTTTGGACTCTTAAAAATAAATGTCAGTCAGAATTATTTATTTATTTTATTTATCTATTTATTTATTTTTTGAGTTGGTGTCTCATTCCATTGCCCAGGCTGGAGTGCAGAGGCACGCATGCTCACGGCCACCCTCTGTGTCGACCTGCTGGGGTCCAGCGATCCTTCCGCCTCAGCCTTCCAAGTAGTTGGAACTATAAGCATGCACTACCATGCCTGGCTAACTTTTGATTTATTGTAGAGACAAGGTCTTGCCAAGTTGCCCAGACTGGTCTCGAACCCACAGGCTCAGGCAATCCACACACCTCAGCCTCCCAAAGTGCTGGAATGACAGGCTGAGCTTCCCGAACCCGGCCCAGATTTTTGTTTTAAATAACGAAGATTCAGTTCTTTGTCTGAAAACAATACATTTTCAATGATTTGTTTCTTGCTGTATTGGACTTTAAATAAATTATTGATTTAGTATTATAGGTTTTGTGGGTGGGAATGAAGACTATCTTGCTATAGAATCTTTATAGACATTTCATTTTGAGATTATTGCTTGTCTAATGGTGATTAACATAGTTTGTTGGTCTTCAGTTACTTTTGTTCATGTCCTATACAATAATTTTGAAAAACTTTGTATTTCCTTTAACATGGCAAAGCTGACATAGAAATGTTTTCATTATCAGTTTAAACAGATGCATAAAATATAACTTCCAGTGTACTTTGTGTAGTGACTTTTTAAAATCAAATGCCACTCTTTTCAAAGTACCCAATGGACTACACATCCCACTGTGATTTGATAATTTTAAAAATACTTGAATGTGGTATTCTTTAACAGTAAAAAAAATTGTATTATGTTTCTTTCTCATTGAAATAATTTTGTTATTATGACTGAAAGGCTCTCTATTCATTCCATCATATTCCTGTGTAACAAATATTTACATAAATTAAATTTATTTTTTATAGTTCTTATGTTAGTAAGTTGGTAACTTTAAAAAGCTTCCATATTAATACCATTAATTATCAATTAATTGAGAATATTAAATTTCTTATACAGTTGATCAAATCCTCTTAAATATTAACGTTTAGATAAATATTAAGCTTAAAGGTAAAATTTATTGGAAAGGTATCTCTATGAGATGGAAGAGACAGAAGGTAAAACAAGGAAAAAACTCGTAGCTTTTATATACTTTGTAATTATTCAGAGTACTTTGGGAAAAGAACTTTTAGTGTATACATGTATTTCCTTTACTTTGTATATGACAAAAATGACAGATTAGTTAAAGAAATGTTACATATAGTTGTATAAATAATTCATTATATACAATTAAATTGTTAATGTAAGTGCTATTTAGAGAGATTTTGTTGCTTATATAAAACAGATTCCAGGTGTGTTTTTAAAACTTACAGATATACCTACATTTCATGATTATATGCTTAAAGAAATATTTTGTTTTTAGCAGAGACCCTAAATTTAACTTAATTTTGGTTTTTAAAAAAAAAGGCATGAGAGTTTCTGGAAACCTGATAGAACTTGGTATTATTGATGAGCTGTAACTACATAAATCTGGATTATTCTGCAAACCTTTGCAACCTTCCATTAAGTGGTCTTCGATTCTCTTTTTTCTTTATTGTTGCGTAGGTTTGTATTTTGAAATAGAAGTTTATAGTTTGTTTGCACTTTGATTATGAATGATTGGTATATAGAATGGATATGATCTTTTGGTCAGCCTCTCTGTGGGAAAAGAGGACTGTCGGAGTCCAGCTCCGACCTATGAGGGGGGTTGGACCCGCACCGGAGAGTCAGGAAGCGGCGAGAAGAAACCACTCGGAGGCAGTTCTTCTGGGATCAGTCTGATCAGGACTGAGTCCAATTTTATTCAAACTTTTTCCAGCTTATATACCATTTTCTATAACCTCCAGCAGTATGACAAATACCTGCTGGGGGCTTACAGGTCTCATGATGCATAACGTACTTCACAAAAGATTTTTGCTTAAGGTAACAATTAACAATCAAAATTCCATGATGCATATCGTGCTTCACAAAGCTTACATCAAGATAAGAAGTGTATGATTTCAGTAATAGTTTTGCTAACTGTTTTCTATAATATTTAATGATTAATCTGTATATTATAAGTTATTCTTATTTTTACCTAATGTAAAATTTCCTATTAATTTTCTATGATTTAACAAAACACTCAAAGTCTATACTATTTATTTTAATGTCCAGCAGTAAAAAATATTTCTGTCAGGGACACTGGTGCCAGAGCCCTCTATGAAATGCTAAATAGTGAGAAGCAGAGAACGCTAACCACAGTGTTTGACAAACCCAATGTGTACTTTACCATTGAAGTCTGCCGGACACTGAAGTCGACACCTTAAAGCAGAAATCCAGAGTGTAAAAGTATATCCAGAAATAAGTAAGAGTACTTTGGTTTTACTCTCTAACAGGCCTGTGACTGGGTTTTATCACTACCATACACAGGCATATTAGAGGGCAAATTTCAAGCAGAAGGAGGTGAAGTAGCAAGCACAAGTTCACATAGTGTTATATATGGATAACTGAACTATGTATATATATTTCTAAACTTCCTTATAAAATTTCTGGTCTAAGTGAATAAATCAAATAGTGGTTGTCACACCTTTGGACAAGAAAAGGCACAGTTGCCATGACGATGGCCGGGGGGGAGAGGCAGACTAAGAGTTTTGGCACATAATGAAACTAAGAACGTTCTGCCTGGCTAGAGGCAGGAAAACAAAACTATTAAAGCAATTTCTGCTTACAGAAACAAAGGCTGTATGGTTACTACTGAGAAACAGAGACTTAAGAATGGCTCAGAGAGTCAGAGAAAAATGAAAACTTAAAGCACAGAATGTTTTTCTGCTGTAAGGCTTTACCTAAAATTTTAGCCTAACTGGTTAAAAGGTTTACTTTCAAATAATATAAGCTTTTATGTCACATATACAAACTGGTCACTATTCATATACCAACACTATAGATGTCACTGATGCTTTTGTGTCAAAAGCAGATCTCCATCATGGGCCTTCATAGGCCTCAACTGTATAGCCGTAGATGTTGGCTCCCAACAGAGGACCCTGATTGCCTCTTAGATTCTAGATGTCATTGAGGGGAACACCACAGAGAGGTAGCAGCAGGTAGTTTTTTTTTTTTTTTTTTAACTATTTAGTAGGTTAAAGAGAGAGATTTTTCTCTACTTGGGACCCTTGATTAGCTTTCACTTTCCTGTCTACAGGAAAAGTAGTAGGCAAGTAGGAGATTCATCTGTGAGAAATATTATAATCCTAAATAACTTTTTCCATTTACATTGACTCTTTGAACTATTTTAGCTTTATTGTGAATATGCAAATTAGACTGCATTCAGCTTATATACTTTATTTGCAGTGGCCATGTAATTACTAATTTTTCTTCATACTTTGGAAATTCTAGTCAAAGATCCTGCTTATGTTTGTGATAGAATTATATTTCCTAATGTCAAGGTTTATATTTAGTATTTGGGAAACTCTGTTCTCTTTTCTTCAATTAGATCTCAACCCACATATTTGTTATAATTTATATAGTCTAATCATTATATATTTTTATTGCAAATTTTTACAAATACAAGTAATGGTGTAAATTTCTTTTCGGTATCATGACTACTTTAGTAAGTGGTTTTAATGTAGGGAGTTAAATTTAATAAGCAATACTTTCCTAGGCCAGGTGTGGTGGCTCACACCTAGAAACCTAGCACTCAGAGAGGTCAAGGAAGGAGGATTGCTTGAGTCCAGGAATTCAAGACCAGCCTAGGAAAGATAGCAAGACCTCATCTCTACAAAAAATTAGCTGGGCATGGTGGTGCATGCCTGTAGTCCTGGCTACTCGGGAGGCTGAGGCAGAAGGATTGTCTGAGTCTAAGACGTCAAGGCTACAGTGAGATGTGATCGTGCCACAGTACTCCAGTCTGTGAGACAGAGTAAGCCCTGACTCAGAAAAAAACCAAAAGACTAAAACAAAAACTTACCTATATTTTATCCTAATGCAAAGTTATAAGAATGTTTTAAGTGAGTCATTGAAATTAAAAGTATGGATTGGCAGCTGAGGGAAAGCTAGGGGAGGGAGGGGCATACCTGATCAACAAGGGTTCCCGCATAATCAACGTTTGTATACCTAACCCTGAATTGTACCCCACAGCTTTAAAGCAAAAAAATAAAATAAAATAGAAAAGGAAATTAAAAGTATGAATTAAGTGTTGATCAAATTCCACTTCTTTCTATGTTGTAGATAAGCAAAATTAAAGGGTGATGTATCATGAAGAGTGACCCAATATGCCCCATTCCCTTTGGGATAGCTTCAAGGAAATAAAGACAATATATAGGGAAGAGTTTTTTGATATGTTGTCATAGAAAATTGCTTTACATGACTTTATTACTACTACTAATTTGGTTTTTACCAAATATTTTAAAATTTCTTGATGTTCCTGAGTTTTCCCTCATTTTTCACAGGGTAGGGCCATGAGCATAAGAGACCAGGCTAATCTGAATGTCTGCAAGCTAAAGAAAATGTGTTTAGACTTCATAGTGCTTTTGCCAAAAACTGGCCACATTAATTTTGTTTCTACCAGAATCCTGTAAGTGACTTGAAAGGAACACTGGTACATGTGAGCTCTATTAAGCCGATTTGAGCATAGTATCCAGAGTGCCTTCTAGAAATTCTACTAAAAAGTAGCTGTCCAGTCAAAGTTTTAGACTGTTTTTAAAATGAAGGTGCTTTCTATGATAATTAAAATGGATCATTACTTGGAAATAATTAGTTTCTTCCTAAATTCACATTTTCCAAATATTTCCAAATAATGAAAACAAGTATGGAAAATAATTGCATTTTTCATAGCATTTACAAAAAATAAAATTAATTTTAGAAGAGGAAAATTTTTTTGAGTTCATTTATTACCAAACTAAAAATGTTTCAATGTGTGGTTATTGGTAGACAAACTTTAATTTCATTTTTAAGACAATACTGTGTTACTGTAGAAATTTGTTAATACATGCTTATTAAGTTAGCTTGGGGACTTTCCCAAATTACTTGTATTCATAAGCAAATTAATGCAAAAATGAACTTATTACAGCATCATTCTAACTGTTAATTTTCTGTGCTAATATCTCAAGTTAAAAAACCAAGTTAGGAAAACAATGTTAACTTGATTTATACTTTATGATGCTACTGGCTTTCATCTATTTGATTCATTGCATTTTGATAAAATTACCCATTATAGCTATCTTTTAAAACATTATTCTTATGTTTTTTTGTTTCATTTTCTCTTTGTAAAGTTGTCATATGAAACTTTACATATGTTCTTTTTAGAGTATACACTTTTCCATTGTAGAATATTTGACTGTATTCCTTTTAAGCTCTCTGAACTTCATTTTGAATTTGTCTAGTATCAAATTTGCCATCATTATTTCCTTTTTATGTTCATTTGCATGTTCAATCTTTTCTACTTATTTATTTTTATTTTTTGAGTGGTTTGAGGATGTCTCTTATTAGTGATATATACAGGCGGTTCTCACTTTGTACAGTACTATGTTATGGAAAAGTCATATATACTAGAACTGTGTCCTTACTCTTTCTATTACTGGGACAGAGCTCCTAAACGCACAACTTTCAGTTAACTAAGTTCTGTGCAAAGCAAGGACAGCTGTATCTTGATTTTTCTTTTCTACCATACCTAAAAGATATTGTTAAAATTTAATTTTATTGACAAATAATATTGATATGTATTATGTGGTACATAGTGGTGTTTTGATACATATAATGTACAGTGATCCTATCAGGGTAATTAGCACATTCATTATCTCAAGCATTTATCATTTATTTTTGTCAGGAATGTCCAATGTCCTCAAAGCAGATTTTTTTTTTTTTGAGTTGGAGTCTCACTCTGTCGCCCAGACTGGAGTGCAGTGCCCGCTCCCGGCCACCGCAGCCTCAACCTGCTGGGCTCCGGCAATCCTTCCGCCTCAGCCTTCCAAGTAGCTGGAACTACAGGCACGCGCTACCACACCCGGCTAATTTTTTATTTTTTGTAGAGATGAGGCCTCACCAGGCAGGTCTTGAACCCGTAGACTCAGGCAATTCACTCACCTAGGCCTCCCAAAGCGCGAGATTACAATTTGAGCCACCAAGCCTGACCTCAAAGCAGATTTTTAATGATCATGACCGTATATCTTTTTTCTGTAATTTTATTGTTTTTTATTATATTTTTTCTCTTGACTTTACTTGTCTTTATTGTTTATTGTGTCTTAGTAATATTGTCCCACAATATTAAAATTTAAAATGTAAAAGAATTAGTTTTGTCAGGTAAATATATTCTAGATAGACACTTAAATTTATATAGATAAGGTCCATTTAATCATACTTAGGCACTGACTGTAGTACTACTATGCTTTCAAGTCTGTGCAAATATAACATTTTCAAGGAATCAGTTCTAAAATATCATTTGAAGTTATAATTCCTGTATCTATGATTAGTGATTAGAGATTGATGTGGAGCACAAGTTATTAGTTTTCTTTGCACAAAGGAGTGGTAAGTGTGGATGGTACTGCATTTAAAGTCAGAAGGGTTACAGCAGGGTTAGGGTTAATAAAATTTAAGTTTGAGTTCTAGCTAGTGAAATTTAACCTTAAATTCAGCTTACTGCAAGTCTTGTGACATTGGCTATTACTTACTCATTCTGATAATCGTCGTGTTATTTCTGAAATGAAATTAATGACATCAATGCCATCACGTTTTTGAGAACATTCAATAAGACAATGTATGCAAAACACCCTTGTATGTTGACTGATGCTAATTTTAATCACCACTTTTCCTGTGATGGTTGATGCTATGGGATCAAGTCCTAACTGTTTCCTTAGATGGAGTGGAAGCCACATAAGATGGGGCCAGCCGTTCCGACTACGCCACGTCACAACGGGGAAATACTTGAGTCTCATGGAAGACAAAAACCTTCTACTCATGGATAAAGAGAAAGCTGATGTAAAATCAACCGCATTTACATTCCGGTCTTCCAAGGTAAGGCAGAAAATATCATTTTGGATTTCTTGTAAATGTGGTCCCATCACATTTCCTCTGATGTTAGAAATGTGAAAAGAAATGATATGAGCATGCTTCACTTGTACTTCTAAATTTCCAGTTTCTCGTCCATCCATTCCTCTCCAGTAAAAACAATTTCCCAAACCACTAAAATCTGTCCAGGTGTTTCACTTGGTTTATCGTTCTTTGGTTGTCTGCATATAGGACATCCATCCAGCTCCTTCCTGCTTTCTTAAGTCTTGACAGTGCAGAGTTACCACACAAACCTCATGATATGGTTGTAGAACAGTATGAAGATAAAGCATGCCTTATTTTTTTTCTCAAAGACGCATTCGCACATCTACTCTTATAGACAGACATTTCTTTTTGGTGCATGAAATCATTTTTATGATCATTATGTATTTCTGTTCATCATTTGATGAGGATTGTGAAACTTGGGCAGGTTGATAGGGATGATATTGAACTACTGACTGACTAGCTTTTGTCTTAGAAAGGCAAAACTTGATGTTCCTGTATTTTCCTTTCATTTGTATTTCTGAGATTATTATATACTCATCTGGATATAGGCATCTTCAGAATGTTTTTCAGAACTCATTTTTAAAAACTTACTACTTTGTTTGCTTTCACTGTGAGAAAATTCTAAGGATTCCATCACCTTTCCCCATATATTGTATTCGTCCTCAATTCAAGTTGAATTTTTTTTTCTTTGAGTTGGAGTCTCGTTCCATCACCCAGGCTGGAGTGCAGTGACACACACACTCATGGCCACCCCAGTGTTGACCCGCTGGTCTCCGGTGATCCTTCTGCCTCAGCATTCCAAGTAGCCGGCACTACAAGCCCATGCTACCACACCCAGCTAATTTTTTATTTATTGTACAGACAAGGTCTCGCCAAGTTGCCCAGGCTGGTCTCGAACCCACAGGTTCAGGCAATCCACTAGCTTTGTGCTGGGATTACAGGCTGAGCCACCGAGCCTGGCTTCAAGTTGGGTTTTTGATAGCAGTTCTTAGATTAGAAAAAGGTATAAGTACTATGTATAATGTAGTCATAGCAAGGTCATGATTTGGATTATTAGAACTAATGCAAGCATTGTAAAGCTTCTTTTAAATCTTTGGATTAGGATTAAGTTTATACTTTCTCCCTAGAGATTTATATGTTGGGTAAAATTTTCTAAATATTTTATGAGAATTAGTTTTATACTTAAGTAAAACCTTTTTTCCTAAAAGACCAATTTTCTGTATGCTTAACTAGTTCAGTTTTGTTGATCTTATAGTGGTGTCCTGTCATGGTATAGGACTAGCAGCATAAAGACAAATATTTATTGAATTTTGAGAGTGTCCCACAGAGCTTGAAATGCACTTATCACTAGATGCCACTGGCCACTTTTTTCTGCATTAGTGTCTAAGGTTCAGACTTCTCCAGTGAGTGCAGACAATAGAGAATTAATTTTGCTAACTAGGAAAATAAATTCTTTTCAGTAAACTCTTAATAATATAATTCACATTAATAATATTTAACTTGCAGGAAAACAGATTAATCATTTAGAGTAATAATTATAACAGTCATAAGAATTTAGTGATTTATGGCTACTCAAATTATTTTTTAGTCCTTTGATCATATTTCATTTCGAATGATTTTGAAAGTAATCCACGTTAATGTTAGAAAGTTTAGAAAATACAGAAATATGTATAGGAGATCTATAACTATCTAAATGGTCAATGTTTTGGTGACTTTTCTTCTGAGTCTTTTTCTTTGGCTATGTAAATATGTAAACAGTTGACCCCTGAATAACATGGGGGTTAGTGGACACCGACATAGCCACCTCCAGACAGTTGAAAATCCAAGTTTTGACTCCCTAGAAACTTAACCACTAGTAACCTAGTGGTTACTTACAGCCTTACTGATGACAGAAATTGTTGGTTAACACATATTTCAAGTATGTTAACATTTAAAAAATATTCTTACATATGCATGAAATACTATATTCTTACATGCATTAAATACTGTATTCTTTCAGTAGAGTCTGCTAGAGAAAAGATAATAGCATGGGAAATCACGAGGAAGAGAAAATATATTTTCTGTTCACTGAGTGGAAATGGAGCCGCACATAGGTCTTCATCCTTACTGTCTTCACGTTGAGTAAGCTGAGGAAGAGGAGGAGGAAAAGGAACAGTGGGTCTTGCTATCTTAGGGATGGCAGAGGCTGAAAAATATCTGTGTATAAGTGGTCCTGAGCAGTTCAAATCTGTGTTTTTCTAGGGTCAACTGTACGTTGATGAAATATATATGTAGTTTTATATCTTTTCCTTATTTGATGATATGTAATAGGTATTTTTATATTTTTCATTGGGGTGTCTTTGGCACTGATGTGAATATTCAGGCAATCTCATATTGAGAATTTGATGGAAGAATCAAGAATTGCTGACGACTCTGTATATTCAAAAGAAATTGAATAAAGTCAGAAATAGTTTATAATATAACCTACTTTGGGTCTTAAGGAAAATATTTTACATAACAAAGAATGCAACTCAATACATGTAGATTTTTTTAAGACATATTCTTCACCTTCTCTATTTCTAGAACTTCTAACCATCATTTTCAAGCATGTCGTAATGTCAGTTTTAATCATAAGGTAGGTCTTGTCAATCATATGTAGTAGTACCCCCTGGATGTCTTTTTTTTTTGGCTTAAAAATCTGCTAAAACATTTCTCTGTAGGTGATTTTTTTTCCAGTTTTCCCTCCCCCATGCACCATGAATAGAAGTCTTTTGCTATTGAAATGGTGGAATAATAGCTTCAAATAAGAATGCCAGTGAGTTTACAAGGATTGTGGACCAAATGACAAGATATAGAACAAAACATTTTTAGGATATAGTTTTACTATTTTTTTTTTTTACTTGGGATTTTCATCCTTGATTCAGAATATCTTTAAAATGTTTTAATATATACACTCTCAATGAAAGTAAGGGTAGCTGTTAACAGTTTATCATGTGCCAAAAAATGTGCCAAGCACCTTTTATGCATATTTCATTTAATCCTAATATAACCCTATGAAGTTTAGATACTGTTTTTTAATCTTTATGATGCAGTTGAGAAAACTGAGGATTAAGTAGATAAGTTATCTGGCTGGTCCAGAATTTGAACTTACATGGTAAATCTGAATCCTTCTTTAGTATGAAAATTAAAAATTTTATAATAATCATAACAATAGATTGAGAAGATCTGTTGTTCACCTGTTATCATCTGACCATTATAGTTGTTCATTGATTTAGTGATTATATCTCTAAAACATCAAGAACTTGAAATGTTTTTCTTATTAAAATAGTTATACAAAGTTATTAATGGAGATGTTATATGTTTAATGAGGATTGAATTGAGAAGAAATTTTTGTATTCAACTTTTCTCAAAGGGCATTGATAGCATAATAGAAGTTTTTATGGGCATCCTTTTTAGTGGCAGTAAGCATAATAGTGAACTCCCTGAAACCTTCTGTGATTAATCCTCAGGGTTCAGCCAGAGAAGCAGGCCAGTAGGAGACATGTGTGTATGAAGGAGTTTAGTATATTTGTTTATGAGTTGTAAGAGTGGGCTAAGTAAACCTGGCATCTATAACTCTAGTAGTCTGACAAGGATGTTTTTAAGCAGGCTGGAATCTTTGGACATGGGCTAAAGCTGTTCTTCACAAGTGGTCAGGAAGGGAAAATAGAGAGCAGAATGGAACCCAGGGGCACTATAATTGTAATATCTATGCTCAGGGAAAACCTAAACCTTTTTAAAGGGTTTGCCTGGCTAAGTATCACCCACCTGTGAAAACTTCCCATTTGATTTACTCAAAATCAACTGATTAGGAACTCAATTGCTTCTGCAAGATCCCTTGACCTTTGCCATATAATGTAACCATATAACAGAAGGGATATTTCATTGTATTTGATACACTTAAGGGAAGGTTATCGTACAAGGTGTTAGAGGACTATTTCTAAGGCTCAGTGACCTTGTTTCATTGATGCTGTGGAAGCCCCATAAAGACCTTCCTAGCATGAGAAAATTTTTTGAAGTCCCATTGTTTTTCTTAGGGAGACTTGGCTATTAAAAAATAAATTAGCAAAAATGTCATCATCCAATGATAAGGACCTTTTGTTCTATCAGTCACCTCACAGAATCATTTGACTAGATTTAAGGATGATTTTAACTAATGCTAGAAGGATCTTCTTGAACTGTCTTGTCCATATAATTAGAAATAATTCTGCAGGTCCAGTTTTAGTTTCCTGATGAGTCTTATTTGATATATCTAAAGTGTGTCACTTGATAAGGAAATAGTTTTGGCTTAATAATGAAGCCAGTTTTGTATACTCAACGCCAACATGTCAACTAATATTTTTTGAGCCAATCTTTTATCTTTCTGAAACCATTTTGATATTCACTTGAAAATTAGATTTTCTAAGCATTCATGAATGGGATTGCTTGAATGCTTATATTGGGAGTAGTTTGTCAGCACATTTTCTATTGGAAATCTGAAGGAATGTGTGAGAGAATGAATTTCTCTCTAGAAATTCATTCTTTCATTTATTCGAAAAATCTTTATCAAGGATCAGGTGTTTGCAGATATTGTTCTGATCTTGAGGATATGAGAGATCAGGGTCGAGGAATCAGACATATAATCCTGCTTTTAAGAAGCTGAATGATAGTCAAGTGGGAAAGAAGGCCATTGAGGAACAATTTTTTTATTTATTTGTTTTTGTTTTCGAGTCGGAGTCTAGCTCTGTTACCTAGGCTGGAGTGCAAAGGCATGCTCACGACCACTGCACCCTGGACCTGCTGGGCTCAGGTGATCCTTCAGCCTCAGCCTTCCAGAGGAACAATTTTAATAAAGTGGCAACATTACCCTGATAGTGGAAGTATAACATGCTTTAAGAACATAGAACTCAAAGGAGAAAATATCATTCTAAACAAAACCTCTTGTAGTGAAAACAGTGGTCTCTGCAATAATTCTAGACTATGTTGGAGTTTTATCTTTGAGAATTTTTATAGTTCTCAAGATATCAAGATTATTCTTGCGTTATGGACAGACTATTAAAGTTAAAAATTGATAGATTTTAATGAATGCTAAGATAATATCAAGGTCTCAGCTGGGCACAGTGGATCATGCCTGTAATTCCAGCACTTTGGGAGGCTGAGGTGAGAGGATTGTTTGAGCCCAGGGGTTTGAGATCAGGCTAGGCCCTATAGTGAGATCTCATCTCTACAGATAATCAAAAAATTAGCTGAACTTGGTAGCTTATGTTTGTGGTCTCAGCTACTTGGGATGCTGAGGTGGGACAATCACTTGGGCCCAGAAGTACTAGCTGTAGTGTGTCATGATCATGCCACTGCTTTCCAGCCTGGGTGACAGAGAAAGACCCCACTCAAAAAAAAAAAAAAAAAAGGAAGGAAAATTGTAACAATCTCAACATTTTAGTAGGAGGTATAAGAATTAAACTTTATAGCGTCTTTTGTGAAAAGTTTCCATTTAAAGACAAAATACGTTACAATGCTTTTAATTTTCTGTTGATTTGCTTTCAACTTATTGAATCTTTATCATACAATTCTAGTCTGATCTTAAGCTGATTTAGTTAATTTGGTCTTTCATTTATTGTTTTCCTTTTTATATTATATTTTTAGTAATTTATATTTTTGGTTCCCTCTGTTCATTATGCATTTATTTTCTTTTGTATCCTTGGATGTATAATAGTTGTTTTAAAGTCCTTGTTTGCTAATTATAAGTTCCAGGCTGTTTGTGCATTGGTTTATATTGCGTTTATATATAATTTTTTCTTAGTATAGCTCATATTTTATTTCTTCACAGCTACTTGTATTTGATAGTATATTGGCTATTGGAAATGATATAGTGTAGAGACTCTGAATTTTAATGTTTTTTTCTGAAGAGTGATTCTGGTTTTGCAGTTAACCTTATTGAATTGAAGCTCCAGCTTATTTCTCTTTTGCCATAAACAGTTGCTTATATATTTACCTGGTTCTTTCAGCTTCTATCTCCTGCCATTATACTGGGTCTCCCATAAGCATGCACAGTTTAGTGGTCAGCAAGAATTTGGATGAATTTCATAAGAAGATTTTGTGGATAACAATTTAGTCTAGGATTTAGCTCATCTAATTTTCTGGCTGCTTGTGAGCCCTGAAGTATATCCCCTGATACCTCAAGCCGAAAGGCAGCAACTTTCTCCTGCTTGAGTTGCAGGCAAATTGTGTAGGACATGCCCAAGGCGAAAGGCAGCACTTATAAATTACACTAGGCGCTGTTTGCCTTTAGAGAGAAATCTGCTCTCCAAATTCTTTCTGCGTTTGTTCCCTCTCAAGTGTCTTTAAGTAGATTCTGAAAAGTATTCTTTTCCATATTTTGTAATAGTTATCCATGGGAGGATTCATTCAACCAAACAACTCTGCTATTTCCTAAAACAGAACAACTCAAAAGCAAAATAAAATTTTAAAAGTGATGCCAAAACTAAAGCCCACTAATTTAGATATATATATAGTACAGCTAATACAGAGTTTTAGTAAGATTATTACTTGTCTTAATTGGGACACTTTATTTCTAGTAATGCAGGTTCATTTTCTATTAGATGCTTTTACCAGGTGTTATGTTCTTGGCTCATGGCGTGCTTCATTTTATGGTCTTTCAAAGTTCTAGGTTTTATTCTATTGTATATATGTACTACATTTTCTTTTTTTTTTTTGAGTTGGGGTCTCACTCTGTCGCCCAGACTGGAGTGCAGTGGCCGCTCCCGGCCACCGCAGCCTCGACCTACTGGGCTCTGGTGATCCTTCCACCCCAGCCTTCCAAGTAGCTGGAACTACAGGCATGCACTACCACGCCCGGCTCATTTTTTGATTTATTGTAGAGGTGAGGGCTCGCCAAGTTGCCCAGGCGGGTCTCAAACCCGTGGGCTCAGGCAATCCACTCACCTCAGCCTCCCAATGTCGTGGGATTACAGGCTGAGCCACGGAGCCCGGCTGTACCACATTTTCTTTATCCAGGCTACTTTTATGGGCATCAGGATTGATTCCATGTTTTTGCTATTGTGAATAGTGCTGCAGTGAACATGTATGTGCAGGTGTCTTATTGGTAGAGCAATTTATGTTCCTCTGGGTATATTCCCAGAAGTGGGATTGCTGGATCATATGATAGCTCAATTTGTAGTTCTTTGAGAAAATACCACTATAAAGAAGAAGAAAGCATGTCCTTTGCAGCAACATGGATGCAGATGGAGACCATCATTCTAAGTGAACTACTACAGAAACAAAGAACTGAATACCACATGTTCTCACTCATAAGCGGGCCCTAAACACTGGAAACAATGGACACTGGGCACTGCTAATGGAGGGAGGGAGGCGAGATGAGGGCATACAATCACTCATTGGGTACCATGTCCACTACTGGGGGTGAGAGGGCTCACTAGCAGCCCAAACCTCACCTGCACACAATTTACATACATAGCAAATCATCACATGTACCCTATAACTCAAGAATTTTTTTAAAAAAGCACGCGGGTTATTTTCACCTGAATTTCTTCTAAGCCTGAGCTACAGAAAATGACAGAAAATAAAAGGAGGAAAGAACATGAATGACTTTTGGTCTTTCATTCAGCAAAGGATCACACGCTTTTTTCTGATGTCATTTTAATCAGTTTTTATCTGACTCGAGGGTCACAGTAATTATTAAAACCCAGTCATCATGAAATTTCATAATTAAATCTTCTAATCCAGAGAGGGATTTGAACCACTTCTATATAAAGCAAAAAAAAAGCATAACCTTACTATTAATGATTGTATAACTTCTCAAAACACAATCCACAAGCCTGAAATAATCAAGCTACAATCTAATTTCCTTGGATAAAAGAAAAAAAAAAGAGAGAATGTTAAGAGGCTTATCTTTCTATTCTGAAAAGATAATTACATTGTCATAATTTCCCCCAGAATTTAATTTTCCTATTGAGAGGGTTAGTATAGGTAGACTAGTAGTTTATCTAGTTTGAATGAAATTGGAATGGTTTACATCTGTTTTATTGCAGATTTTTAGGATAGTGTCTCAAGTTATTTGTATAATGAGTAAATCAACTTAATTGATAATTTTAGGTTTACTTAGATGACCTTGACTTTTTTGTGTGTTGAGAATTCCAACTCTTATTAATGTCAATTTTCAACTGTTTATGGAACATTCATAACCATTTTAGGGTGATTATTAGCACAGTATGCACACAATTTATATACATAGCAAATGTATGCAAATGCAAAAAAATCTGACACTTAAAAAAATCATCCCTTTGTCTATAACTTACATAAATTTTACTCCATCCCAATTTTTTAAAGCTTTTTTTGCTTTATATAGAAGTATTTTTTAAAGACAAATAACCAAAGACATAGAAGAATCTTAAAGTAAATTTAACAAGGAAAGTTAGAGAATGAGATACTATAGAATGAAACTAAGGAATGAGAAACTACAGAAAGGAAGTTCATTCACTTTTTCACTGCTGTTTTAAAGATTATGGAGAACTTTATGACTTTGAATTCCTGAAGATCATAATTAAGCATGGGAAGAAATATTGAAAGCAAGCATGTTAGAAACACTAAGGCAAATAGGGGTTCAAAAGAAACTTCTGGTTGGTCTCAGGGGATTGATTGCTTCTTCCTAGCAAGGGAAGCTTGGCATAGTAGCCCTTTAAGAGTGAGTACCTCTGTGACCCAAGTTGTAAATTGCAGTAGCAGAAACTGAAACTGAATTACATCTTTGATTAGTTAAAAAAAACAAAAACCCTTAACATCATTGTCACCATTATCATGGTCAAAATTATCAAAGTTTATTTGAGTTTATTTTATACCAAATACTCTTCTAAGAATGTCACACCTCATTTATTTTGATCATATAGGGAGGTTTTATTAGCTTTATCTATAGATGAGAAAACTGAGACTTAAAAGGTTTAATTAACTTGCTAAGGTCTTAGCGTTAGTAAGCTGCAGAGGTTGGACTCAAAACTGAAATTTTCAGTCCCCCAAACCTATGTTTTTAGCTACCACTAATGAAAAAAAGAGCAACAAACAAGTTAGCAAGAATATTAAACTTCTTAACTGCTCATTTTAAGATCTTGGGTTTGGAATTCACTATTAAGCAACATAAAATTTTATATTAATGGCCCAAATAAGTTTTTACTAATGTGAATGATTCAAGAATATGTTATGTATTTTTGCAGTTTCTTACTTCGATTTTTCAGTAGAGGCTAAACTATTAGAATAGACTATTTTAACATTGTTTTAAGGGACTTTGGAGGGCTGAATTTTTCAAGAAATGTATTTATAAGACACCCAGATTCTACTGCTGTGTACTAGTATTTTAAAAATGCTCTCTCCTTTTTGCAACCCCCCCCCCCCTTAGGAAAAATTGGATGTAGGCGTGAGAAAAGAAATTGATGGCATGGGAACATCTGAAATAAAATACGGAGACTCAGTTTGCTATATACAACATGTAGATACAGGCCTGTGGCTTACTTACCAGTCGGTGGATGTGAAATCTGTGAGAATGGGATCTATACAACGTAAGGTAAGGTTATAGAAAAATGCAATGATAGCATTTTTATGAATAAAATATACAAGCACAAGTCGAAAAGAGGTGGCTAAGCCTTTCGGCCACCTGCTAAAGTTCATAATTTTAAATGCTAAAGGTCAAATCCCACCATAATAAGCTCTTTGGTTTTATGAGGTAAGTATTGCTGGATGTTATATCAATGACATATTAGATTATGATATTCATATATTGAAGTATTAAGTGAAGAACTATACAGTCTGTCTTCTGGGTTCCAACTTAATCTACCCAATTCTCTTTGTCCTGTATGATGCTACTTGGTCTTTCATTGACATCCCCTTGCTAATAAGACCAGGATCACCCTTTTTGGTAGTGATGTGATATCCTGACCTGCCCTGTTCTATTCTTTCCCAAAGTTCTAGGCATTGTCTTCAATTTCCCCAGAATGTCACTTACAGCATACTCCTTGCAGCCCTTAAAAAAAAAATCATGACTTTTATATACCTAGGCCTTTGCACAGACACTCTTCTGTTTGTAATACCCTTGGAAACTTTGTAAAATCTTAGCTGTAGAGTTTTGACAGATGGATACTCTGGTGTGATCCCACATGCTTACCTTCATAGGGAACATTTCCATGACCCGCGAAAATTGTCCAGTATTCCTTCCCAGGTTCTCCCTGCTCCTTTATCCCAGGGCACCTGCTCTTGTGATCTTTCTCCACCATAGATCAGTTTTGCCTGTTGTAGAACTTCATCTTAATGAACTCCTACAGCATGCACTATTTTGTATATGGCTTCTTTCGCTCTGCAGAATGTCTGTAACATTATCTATAATGTTCCGTGTTTGGGTCCAAATTGCAAAGCTACTTTTTGAGGTCCTCAGAAGCCGAAGGAAGCAGAGGTTAAACTAAGTTAAGTCTGCAGCCTAAGGAAGGATGGAAAGAAAAGAGAAGATGAGACAAAGGTGTTTAATTGTGACTTACTCTCTCTCTGTTACTAGACTCTGAGACTGGAACCAGGACTTTTAAAAATTTTATTTTATTTTAAAGATGTGGGGTACAATTCAGGATTCAGTATACAAGTGGTCAACTTACAGGTAAAATTTGGGCCTCCCTTTGGTCCCTACTTCACCTGGTTTGAGATCAGGTGCCCTTATTGATGTTCTGTGTCTCCCTTCCCTCCTTTGGAACCAGGTCTTTTATTTCTGTATTCTCAGCATCTGGCAGAGTGCTGGAATCATAATAGGTGCTCAGTAAATGTTTCTTGAATGAAAACATGTATCTTAAGAGTGTGGAGATACTTTTGAGTTGGTGAGGTTCCCCATGCTCCTGCCAGTTTAGTCTCCAACTTTATTAATATTGCAGAATTACCAGCCATGGCGAACTGGGTTAACATTTGCAAGGTGAATAGCTAATGTAGTCAACATTGTGGGAAAAGTGAGGATTTTTATTTTGACGTTGATGTTTGGCGATCCTCCCACCTTGGCTTCCCAAAGCTATGGGATTACTGGTGTGAGCATTTGCACCTGCATTAAATGGATTTTAAAAACCACATACTACAGACACTTTTCATTATAAAATTTCTAAATAGTTGGAAATAAAGCAAACTATATCTTGCTTCTCAAGGATATAAAGCAGCCGGGCTCGGTAGCTCAGCCTGTAATCCCAGCACTTTGGGAGGCTGAGGCGAGTGGATTGCCTGAGCCCGTGGGTTCGAGACCCACCCGGGCAACTTGGTGAGACCTCGTTTCTATACCAAATCAAATAAATTAGCCGGGTATGGTAGCACGTGCCTGTAGTTCCAGCCACTTGGAAGGCTGAGGCAGAAGGATCGCCAGAGTCCAGCGGGTCGAGGCTGCGGTGGCCAGGAGCGGCCACTGCACTCCAGTCTGGGCAACAGAGTGAGACTCCAACTCAAAGAAAAAAAAGGATGTAAAGCATATAAAATATGTTGTAAGGAACTAAATACCACGAGTTTCCATTATTTTTTTGCTTCATTCTGCTAAATTCTGTAAAGCACCAACCCCTGACAATTTTATCTTCTAAGTGTGCCTCACATTGGTCCCTACTTCTTCACCCTTTCAAGTCCAGTTCAGCCTTATCATCTCTCGTGTGCACTATTTCCATGTCCTCCTCATCAGTCTCTCTACCTGCAGCCTCCCTTCCTTCCATTCCCTTCTGACTTTATGACTGCCATGCTTAAAATTCTGCATGGCTGAACCTTGTCTGTCTGTGTGGGAATTCCAATCTCTTTACTATGACACACCAGATCATTTGCCTCACCTCTGGCCACCTCATCTTTGGTTCACTTCGGTAATGCCTGGATTCTTAATCATTACTCTACCTCGTTTCTTAACCATGGATTAAGCTTGTATGTATCCCAGCTACTCAGGAGGCTGAGGCAGGAGGATCACTTGAGCCCAGGAGTTAGAGGCTGCAGTAAGCTATGATCACACCATGGCACTCTAGTCTGAGCAACAGAGTGAGACCTTGTGTCTAAAACCAAACAAACATGGATTAAAGTCAAAATGGGATTTATAGTCTCCATCATAGGCTAACCTGGAGCTTGCCTTTCTAGAATAGTTTGACAAGGGTGACTGAGAAGCTAAACAGTCTTGTTTAAGTTTTTGAAGTGACCTGCGAAATAGACTTTATAGGACATAAAAGAGATGATATAATTAAAATATCTACTGTAAACTTATTTCTACTTCTAGAACTGACTTCTATATTGATTCTTATGGGGAGTCTTTGGCGTAGCCATAATATGCTAGGACTTTTCCAGTCTTTACCTTCTAATTTTTCTAAACTTCCCAGTTAGCGGGTATCTTCAAATCTTTTTTTTTTTTCTCCTAAAGAAAGGCAAGTTGGTGATATATTTTCCAGATATTTGCATATTTGAAACCTTCTCTTGTCATTTCATGTGAATACAACTTACTTATTTAAAGGCTTTTGAATTACTATTCATAGTTTTAATATATTGCACTTAGTGTTAATATTCATGTTTTGCCAAAGAAATATAAATGTATTGATCATGAAGTGATGCCCTAGACCACACCAGGTGTTAGAGAATGTACAGTTTATATACCATATCACCCTTAAGAAAAAGAAACCTGAAGAACTCTGAATTACGAAATGCATCTGGAACCAATAATTTTTAAACAGCACGCCCGAATCTTTTTAAAGCTGAGAGAAGTATTGTCTGTGGCTTCTTTTTGCTTGGCTAGTTTCTTTCTCAGGAGCATAGCTCATCCCTGCTCTCTCTGTGGGCTGTCTTTCCTCCCAGTGTCCTTAGTGACCTTTTCTCTATACTTGGCTTGTCAAGTGTGTCTTCCAAAGTGCTCATTTTGTCTTCTTTAGTGCTGCTCTGGTTTTAAGCCCTTTCAGTGCCTTTGAGATTTTAGTTTTCTTGCTTTTTTTGTTGTTGTTACCTCATCCAGCTAACTTTTTAATACCAGCTTGCTGTTGTTTCATCTCTTCTGGTTGTTTATTCATGTCAGAGTGTTTTCTCATTATGAATTTCACTCCTGTTTCGTAGAGGTTGTACCTTCCTTTCTGAGGACAATTGAAATTGCTTTCATATTTAAGGAGTCTTCTACTATTCCTGTTTCACTTAGCTTTAAATGAAAATAGCAATGATTGGTAGATTTTTATCAATTAAAGGCAGTAAAAGCCATGTTTTAGCATCCTTTTATTTGTTGATAAAATAAAGAAGCTACCAGACTTCCAATTATTAAAGAAACTTTCAATTCATAGAGTAAACCCTACTTGATCATGATATATCATTCTCTTGAAGTTATACTGGTTTTAATTAACTAGTATCTTTCAGAATTATTGCATGCATACCCATAGGGGAAATTAATATCTGTTTGTAGATATTGAAATTTGAATTTCATACAATTTTCATGTTTATTAATTTTCATGTGTCATCAAATACCAGTCTTCTTTGGTCTTTTTTTTTTCTTTCAGCTATTAAAAAATATATAAGCCATTCTCAGCTAATGGGGTATACAAAAACAGGTGATGAGCAGTAGTTAGCCAACCCTTGGTTTAGATTCATTTGCCATTAACAGTATCTGTCCTTTGAAGGTTTATCAGAGCTCTCCTGTGAAACCGTGTAGCCCTAGGGGGCTTTAAATATTGGATCTTTAATTATCTTTCTACTCTTTTCTAAAGAAACTGGTCTAATCAAATTTTCTACTTAGTTGAGATGATTCCTTTTGATGATGTATTTCTTAAAATTAATTTATTATTATAAAGATGTGGGGTACAGTTCAGGGCTAGGTATACAGACATTGATCATGCAAGTACCCTTGTTGGTGAAGCATGCCCCTCCCTCCGGTAGCAGGTTCCCCCAACTGCCAGTCCCACCTCCTTCCCCTGACAGTTTTCCGCTACTGCCAGTCGCCTTCCCACAGCCTTATAATTGTTCATGGTCACCTTATGAGTGAAAACATATGGAACTAAGTTCTTTATTTCTGTGATGTATCACTGATTATGATCGACTCCAAATCCATCCAAGTTGCTGCAAAGTCCATATATTTGTCTTTCTTTATGGCTGCATAATATTCCATTGTGTATATGTACCACATTTTTTTTTATCCGGTCCAACTTCGATGGGCAACATGGTTGGTCCATGTTTTTGCTATTGTGAATAGTGCTGCAACAAACATACGTGTGCAGGTATCCTTTTTGTAGAATGATTTGAGTTCCTCTGGGTATATTCCCAGTAGGGGAATTGCTGGGTCATATGGAAGGCCAATTTCTAGTTCTTTCAAAAATCACCACACTGTCTTCCAACCTCTTGGTTGTATTAGTCTGCATTCCCACCAGCAGTGTAGAAGTGTTCCTTTTTCTCCACATCCTCGCCAGCATCTGTTGTTGTTTGTTGTATTAATGATGGTCATTCTTACAGGGGTTAGGTGTTATCTCAATGTGGTTTTGATTTGCATTTCTCTAATAATGAGTGAGGCTGAGCACTTTTTCATGTGTCTGTTGGCTGCCCGTATATCTTCTTTTGAGAAGTGTCTATTCATGTCTTTTGCCCACTTTTTAAAGGGGCTGTTTGTTTTTTTCCTTTCAGTGCGTTTGAGTTCCTTGTAGATCCTAGATGTTAGGCCTTTGTCAGATATACAGTTGGCAAATATTTTTTCCCATTCTGTGGGCTTTCTCCCTGCCCTCTGGATGGTTTCTTTGACTTTGCAGAAACTTGTCAGTTTAATGAGGTCCCACTTGTGATGATGTGTTCTTAATTTGCTGGGAGTCCTTCCTAGTCCTCTAGAATACCCAGGCATTTGTTGTTGTTGTTGTTTGGGGTTTTTTTCCCCCATAGAATTACATAATATTGTATTATAGTTATCATTCACTGGTTTTGCTTTCTCTCTCTTTTATCTCTAGCCAGATTGGTGAGAGATTTATCTATTTTATTTATCATCTCAAAGACTCAAAGTTTGAGTTTATTCATCCTAGAATTTCTAGTATTTTATTTGACTCCTAGATTATTAATTTCCCTTTTTATCTTCATTAGTTCCACTTTTAACTTTATTTTCTGTTTTTTTAGTCTTAAAATTAGTTGTGACTTCCTTCGTTTTAGTCATTTTTAAAATCAACGAAGGCACTTAAGTCTATAATATCCTTCTGCCTCAGCCTCCTGGGACTACAAGTGTGTGTCACCACTCCTGGCTAATTTTTTATTTTAATTTTTGTAGAGATGAGGTCTTTCTGTGTTGCCCATGCTGGTCTTGTACTCCTGGCCTCAAGTGATCCTCCCACCTCCCAAAGTACTGGGATCACAGGCGTGAGCCACTGCAGCCAGCTGAAGTGAACTCTTACGATCTTTTGTGTTATCATGAAGGTCTGCAGAATGACAATTTCACAACCTTTACCGCAGGACTGTCCCATTGAACTTTCTGTCAATAGTGCCTTTGAATATTGATATAGATAAATCTCTTTTATTTTGGCGTATGGCTTCCTTTTTGCATTGCTTTCTAGATGGTTTATAGTTACAGTTCCAGAAACTAAATTTAGTTCATGACACCTGAGTAGGTGTATTAAATCATCTTACTGTAAATGTTGAGTGAGGGAAACCAGACACAAATGGGTACAAATGTGTCTACTGCTATAGAGTACACAGCTGATCTATGCTGTTAGCAGTGATGAACATTGTGAAGGATGAGGATAGGAAGGGAGCACAAGGGGGATTTTCAGGTGTGTAATGTTTTCTCTCTTGAGCTGAGCGTTGGTTACACAGGTGTGTTCACTTTGTGAAAATCATTGAACTGTTCACTTAAGATTTCTGCGTTCTCCTAATGTTATACTTTCATAGAAAACTCAAAACAGAAAACAGAAAAGATGTCTTGGAAGCAACATTCAGTACTTACGATTAAATGGTCTGTGTTCAGAACTACCATATAACTAATGTGCTAATGTATTTCCTTTGCTGCTTTGTACCCAGTGTGCTTAGGCTGTGGATCAATCATTGCATGTAGATATGTGAAAAGGCTCTGCTGTTTGTTTTGCTTAGCTCAGTACATTGTTGACTCTTTCTTTAAAACAATAGCTAAATGAATATAGGAGATGGCTTGTTTGTATAAGGACCTGTGCTTATTATTTTATCTAACTACGACAGCTTCATAGTACCCTTGACCTGTCTTTTGATTCTATCTATTGTTATGGCTTCCCTGTTTGAGTCCACATCTCCTTAATTCCTTTTTGGAAAAGATGTGTTGGGAATAATGGCATGATTTTTGCTTTCTTACAGGCTATTATGCACCATGAAGGCCACATGGATGATGGCATAAACTTATCTAGATCTCAGCATGAAGAATCACGCACAGCACGAGTCATCCGAAGCACAGTCTTCCTTTTCAATAGATTCATAAGGTGATTTTATTTATTTTTTTGCTGCTGTTGTTTGATATTTTCATTTCTTTATTGGGTTTACAAATCGGCAGTTCTAAAATATGCCAGGATGATAAATCTCATGCAATTTGGAAGGCTAGCAGAATACATTCGGAAGTGCTAGTTAAGATGATTTTTATGTCTGTCTTTTAAATGAACTTTTAAGAAAGGAGTCTGGGTTTACAAATTGGATGTGTCATTGTTAACTGACAGTTATAGATTAGGATTATTTTATAACTACTCTACCCTCATGCTGGACCTATTTAATTCCCTTTTACAATTAGGTTATTGAAACCAAGATTCTTGGTGAGTTTTAATCTGTATTTTAAAAAAGTGATTCTTGTGATAACTAAGATTTTCCACCTAATACTAGAAACAATTACATATCTACAAAAACTTGAGACCAAAATGTTTTCTGGTTACATAACAATATATACTCTGACTTATGATGGGTTTCATTTGTCTCCTAAGTTTTGCCAGTTCTATGAGTGGAAATTTTTTGCTGACTATATTGCTTCATTTATTTTTTCTTTTGTGTTTTACCCTATTATCTGTGAATATTTCTGTTAGGCTGTCATGATCTTTTATTATGTTAGATATATTAGTTTTCTGTCAACATATATAAGTCACAAATATTTCCCCCAGTTTATTGGTTTGGAAAATAATTTAAAACTAATTTTTATAAAAGTTGAATCAATAAATTACTTTTTGGCTTTATAACATTTCAAAAACCTTTCCTAACCAACATTATATTATATTCACTTAATTATTTTCTGTTTCTTTGTAAATCATCACACTGTGTGTGTGCGTGTGCACGCGTGTGTGCATGTGCATATATGTAAGCAAACAATGGGCACAGTATTTGACCTCACATTTTTCCTAAATTACACTCTTAGTATTTATTCTATTTTTCTGCCTCATTTAAACCCTAAGCCTCATCAGATGTAGTAATGCTTAGAGATGAGGTAAGCATCAGATTGTTATATTTTGTGACTTGCATTCCTTTTCAGTATTATTTGAATTTATTTTTGTATTTATATCATATTTTCTCATAATAAAATTTATTACATTTTAATGTAGTATAAAATTCATCAAAAAGTCCTACTTGGAAATCGTAACTTAATTTTGAAAAATTAGCTTTCTTCATCTTGTTCCTTTTTACCAGTTCTTCTTTACCACAGGGATTGAGGAAAATGATCATAAATCTTTAAAATAGCCAGTTTCTACTTAATCATATCAATCAGTACTGACTTCTTCAAATTTGACTTCTGTAGAGTTTTCAGTGACACTACAGAGGTTCCATTTGATGAGAAAGACTAATTTAATAATAGAGAAAATTCAATTGTTTTTAAAAGTATTTTATCAGAAAGCTACTATATTTGTGTTTAGACTTAATGTAGCCACAGAATACCATAAGGGGCATTTTGCATGCTGGCTGAGATACTGAAATTCATCTTGAATGTGATTTGCTTTAGCATATTGACTCTTTGTTTAACATTAGACTCGTTTTTGACATGTAGTGTCTGATTTGGAAGAATAATTTTAAAATTTAATAATTATTTTTCTGGTTAGGTATAGAACCAAGTATGAGAAATTTAAATTCTATGGTAAAAAATAATTGACATATGCGTGCTGCTTCATTAAATCTTGAAAATCAATTTTTGGCTGGTCTATTTGAATGAAATTTATTCATTATACCTATCATGATACAATAGGATAGGTTTATTAACTTAAAAACATTTTTTTTTTTTTTTTGAGTTGGAGTCTCACTCTGTCGCCCAGACTGGAGTGTAGTAGCTGCTCCCGGCCACCACAGCCTCGACTTGCTGGGCTCCAGTGATCCTTCCGCCTCAGCCTTCCAAGTAGCTGGAACTACAGGCACACGCTACCACGCCTGGCTAATTTTTTGATTTATTGTAGATATGAGGTCTTGCCAAGTTGCTCGGGCGGGTCTCAAACCCACAGGCTCAGGCAATCCACTCACCTCAGCCTCCCAAAGTGCGGGATTACAGGCTGAGCCACTGAGCCCGGCTTATTAATTTAAATTTAACATGCATTATTCAGTTCTTTGTTTCTGGGATAGTTCACTTAATATGATGGTCTCCAGCTGCATCCAAGTCTCTGCAAAGGCCAGGATTTTGTTCTTTGTGACTGCAAAATACTCCATTACATACATACATGTACCACATTTTCTTTATTCAGTCCACTTTCAGTGGGCTGGCTTGGTTCCATGTTTTTGCTATTGCAAACAATGCAGCAGTAAACACACACGTGTTGGTGTCTTTTTGGATCTTATAGAAGCTTGATTTTTAGATCTTTGAGGAATCACCACGCTGCTTTTCACAAAGATTGAACTAGCTTACATTTCCCCCCCAACAGTGTAAAAATGTCCTTTTTTTTTCTGCAGCTGTTCCAGCACCTGTTGTTGTTTTTTGACTTATTGGTGATAGCCGTCTTTACCATTGTTAGGTGGTATCTCATTGTAATTTTGATTTTCATTTCTCTGATTATTTAGTGAGGCTGAGCATTTTTTCATGTGTTTATTGTCTGTTTGAGAAATGTCTGTTCATGGCCTCTTGCCACCTTTTAATGGGATTGTTTGGTTTTTTCCCTTTCAATTTGTTTGAGTTCCTTGTAGATCCTGGATGTTAGGCCTTTGTCCAATATATAGCCTGCAAATATTTTTTTCCCATTTTGTGGATTGTTTCTTTACTCTTTTGATGGTTTATTTTGCTGTGCAACAACTTTTCAGTTTGATGAGGTTCCCACCTGTCTGTCTTAGCTTTTATTGCAATTGCTTTTGAGGACTTGGTCATGAATCCATGGACTACTCGGATATCCAGAATAATTTTTCCCACATTTTTTCTAATATTCTTAAAGTCTGAGGTTGCACATTTAAGTCCCTGATCCATTTTTAGTTGATTTTTGTATATGGTGATAGGCAGGGGTCTAGTTTCATTCTTCTGAATGTGGGTAGCCAGTTTTCCCAGCACCATTTGCTAAATATGGTTCCCTTTCCCCAAGGTTATTAATCGCTTTGCCAAAGATGAACTGGTTGAGGAATTGAGTTTTTATTTCTGGATTCTCTGTCTTATTCTATTGATCTGTGTGCCTCTTCCTGTACCAATACGTTGCCACCTTCGTTACTATAGCCTTATAGTTTAAAGTCTGGAAGTAAGTGTGACACATTCAGCTTTGCTGCTTTTGCTGAGGATTGCTTTGGCTATTCACACTCTTTTTTGCTTCCGTTTGAAATTCTGTATTGTCTTTTCTAGGTCTGCGAAAAATGATGTTGGCAGTTTGATAGAGATTGCATTGATCTATAATTGCCTTGGGTAGGATGGACATCTTGGCAATATTGATTCCTCTAACCCATAAGCATTGGATGTTTTTCTATCTGTTTATATTAGCCTTGATTTCTTTGAGCAGTGTTTTGTAGTCCTCATTGTAAATGTCTTTCACTTCTTTGGTTAGGTGGATGCCAAGGTATTTTATTTTGGGGGATGGCTATTGTGTTTTTTATTTGGTTCTCAGCCTGCTTGTTGGTGTATAGAAATCTAACTGTCTTTTGTGCATTGATTTTGTATCCCAGGACTTTACCAAAGTCGTTTATCAGTCTGAGGAGGCCTCTCTAGGGTTTTCTAGGTAAAGAATTATATCGTCTGCAAAGAGGGATAACTTCACTTTTTCTTTTCCTATTTGGATACCCTTAATTTCTTTCTCCTGGCTGGTTGCTCTGGCTAAGACTTCCAGTACTATGTCATAGGAGGAGTGAGAGTGGGCATCCTTGTCTTGTTCCATTTCTTGGGGGAATGCTTTTCACTTCTGACCATTAAGCCTGATGTTTGCTAGTTTGATTCTTTTGGATCTTGCTTTTAGGGTTTTTGGGTGGGCAAAGCAGTGTTTTGTCTAGGACTAATTATTCACCACTATTGAGGCAAGACCCCCTGTGTAGTGTACCCAGTTTCCTATGAATTAGGAAGTTTTCTAGTCTGGCTGATAGGGAAGAGGCACTGTTGCAGGTCCCGTGTGAGGGCCAGTTACTGTTCCCTCTAACACTTTCAGATGGTTCTGTTCCCTGCCTTGAGTCTTCTCCTAATATGATGTGCAAACCATCATATTTGAGGGGGGCCCCCTTTAGAGCCCCCGGGGTTCTGTCTTGGGCAGTTATCTTCTCTCCAGTACTATGTCCTGTGAACACTGGCAACCTTGACTCTTAGCAATGTCTCTTCAGCTCATGGAGTCTGCCATACCACGCCTGGTTCTCTACCTACTCCGTGGCCTGGAAATTCTCCTAGGCAGTAAACTGGGGCAGCTGCAGGTTCACCTCATTTGTTTCTCATCAGGAATTTCTAGTTTTTATTCTTTAATATCCAGTGTCTTAAAAGAAGTATTCTATTTTTCCCTCATATATTTTTTCTTTTTCTTTTCTTTTTTTTTTTTGGTGTTTCACAGGGAGGATAAAACCTGTCTTGTTACTTTATCTTGGCCAAATGCAACTGAAATCTAGTTAACGTAGTGTTTATTAAATCTAGTTAACGCAGTGTTTATTTTCCGATGAGCTTCATTGTTTCCCTTGGCAAATGTAGTAGAATCTCTGCTAATTCTGCATTGATACTTTTTCTCTTTTAAATTTCCCCCTCATTACAAACCTTTTACAAATTTGCCATATTTTCCTGTGTTATCTACTTTTAATGATGTATTTTTCCCTTGTGATCACCTAAGAGATGCCATGGGTAAACACAATAAGTTTTCTCTTACAGTTAACTGACTTTAATCATGTATTTTTTTTCCAAAAGTTAACTTTTAATCAAACTTTTTTTCCTCCTCTTTTCTTTTCTCGAATATTTACCCTTAGGTCATATTACTTAACTTCAATAATTGCGTGTATGTGTGTGTATTGTGTGTGTGTGTGTATATATATATATATATATATATACACACACATACAGACGTACATATACACACATGTAGGCTTAACTTAGATGTTTATTAGTATTATCTGTTAGAAGTCCTGAATTTAAATAATTCTTTAATATATTCAGAAACTTTGAAAGTTTTACATAATTACTGAACATTTTAAAGAGTATATTTTTCAGTATAATATTTTCCTTCTTCTGTCACATTCACGAAAGTACCAAAAGTCTTTAAAATCTCAATATCTTGGCTGGGCTCAGTAGCTCAGCCTGTAGTCCCAGCACGGGGAGGCTGAGGTGGGTGGATTGCCTGAGCCCGTGGTTTTGAGACCAGCCTGGGCAACTTGGCGAGACCTCGTCTCTACAATAAATAAAAACTTAGCCAGGCATAATAGCACACACCTATAGTTCCGTATACTTGAAAGACTGGATGGAGGAATCGCTGGAGCCCAGCAGACTGATGTTGGGGTGGCCATGAGTGTCCTACTGCACTCTAGCCTGGGTGATGGAATAAGATTCCAACTCAAAAACAAACAAACAAACAAAAAAACTCAATAACTTGACTATATTTGTACCTTAGTATTTTTCAGAGTAAATTATTTTTTGCTATTGATTTTATTAATGCTACTTTATTTAACATATATTGAGATTCATTTAAAAAATCTATACTCAGACCGCTCTTTTTACCTTTTAGAGTGAAAGTCAAAGATCATTTAACCATTTGGGCTTTTCTTATGTGGTTTAGTTTCTGTAACCCCAGTGTCTCTTTCTCCTGGGTCAGGGTTGTGGTGGGGCGTGTGTGTGTGTGCGTGCGTGTGTGTGTGTTGTGTGTAAGGAAGGATGTTCTATTCTTTTGGCCTGTGTGTGTGAGATATATAGAGATAGTATCTCTATCTCTATCTGTCAATCTGTCAATCTAGCTAGTCTTTTTTGAAAATTATGTTAATAAATATATTCTTGAAGTAAATGAGAGAAGGGAGAAACCTGTATGTGTTAGGTAGTAAAATAGTTTAATCTTAAAAATGTAGAACTGGATATCATAGCTTTAATTTTTGCTGCATGATAGTGTAATTCTACCACTTTTGGTTTTCTGAATTATTTTTCCTCATTTTTTGTCCTTGATGAATTAAGATTATAAGCACCTTTGCTTCAGGTGAAAGCTCTAAAACATTGCAGAATTAATAATTTTAGAATTTTGGATAGCATTTGTTCTGACAAGAGCCATCCCCTAGAAAGTAATTAAATGGTTATGTTGCTGATGGCAGATGAGTTTATTTCAACTTAATAGTCTAAAATCTGGCATTTACTAATGTTTTCTTTAGATGTGAAAAAGTAGATATACCTGATCACTTTTGAATTTCATTTGCTTTAGTTTGATGACAGTTGAGTTTGAACTTGTTATATATTTATTTATGATTTCACTGATTTAATGGAATAAAATGTTTTTAAAAAACTGCACTGACCAGGCTCGGTGGCTCAGCCTGTAATCCCAGCACTTTGGGAGGCCAAGGAGAGTGGATTGCCTGAGCCCACTGGTTCAAGACCAGCCCAGGCAACTTGGCAAGACCACGTCTCTACAATAAATAAATAAATTAGCCAGGCATGGTAGCACACACCTGTAGTTCTGGCTACTTGGAAGGCTGAGGTAGAATGCTTGCTGGAGCCCAGCTGGTCGATGCTAGGGTGGCTGTGAGTATGCTACTGCACTTCCACCTGGGCAACAGAGTAAGACTCCAACTAAAAAAAAAAAAATAATTCACTGCATATGCACTTTCATTTTGAAAGGGGAGAAATAATTTTCTCCTGAAAAGTCACTTTGTTTTCTTTTGGAGCATAGAAAAACAGAGAAGATGAAACTAGGGAATAGATGAACTCTGTTGATATAGTTGATATGGAACTTCAGGCACAAACTTTAGAATAATTGAACAGTTTTGCTGTGCTGTTTCTATAGTTTGATAAAACTGACGTCACATGTTCTAAAATGTTTAAAAATCTTAATGTAAATTATACATTTTAAGTATGTCTTGAACACTGTAAAGTTAAAAGGTAAGCTAATTCTCATTAATTAGAATTTTATTGTTTTCTTAATGTAATTTTTAATATAGTCAAAAAATTAGACAGAAAAATTTTCTTGGGATAAAGTGTTGCCATACATTTTTGTTGATACAGAGAGCAGGAGTGGAGATTTTTGTGCACAATTTTGTCATGACTAATGAGAATATTATTATATCAAGTACAGTAGATGTATTCTCCCATTCTTTTATGATGTCTGATGCCTTTTTTTAAAACAAACTTTCTATTTTGAAATAATTTTGATTTACAGACATAAAGTTTTTTTCAGACACATTCAAAGCTATATGTTTTAAAACTGAGAATCTCAAACTCAACAAATTAACATATTTACATGCTTGTTATTTATTTTTCTTCAAAGCCTAGAAAATACATAATGATGTTATTTCATGATCTAATTTTTGTTTGTTTTTGTTTTGTTTTGTTTTTGAGTTCGAATTTCACTCCATCACCCAGGCTAGAGTGCAGTAACATACTCATGGTCACCCCACCATCACGCTGGGCTCAGGCAATCTTTCCGCCTCAGCCTTCCAAGTAGCCGGAACTATAGGTGTGCACTACCATGCCCGGCCAATTTTTTGATTTATTGTAGAGAGTAGGTCTCGCCAAGTCTCCCAGGCTGGTCTTGAACCTGAACCCATGGGCCCAGGCAGTCCTCTCACCTCGGCCTCCCAAGGTTGAGCCACCGTTCCTGGTCCATAATCTAATTTTTAAACGCATCTCTTCCAGGTAATGGAAAAACACTTAATATGTTGTTTACTGATTAATAAACACATATTTTAAATTAATATCATTAGAGTATTTTTTTTTAATTGTCAGGGATGAGACCAAATGGAAACTAGGATCCACTGATAGCAAAACTTAAGAATCCCTGCTTTTAAAATAAACAACAAGCAAATGTCAGGATTATGAATCTGGGAAGATGCAGTCTTAAACCTTAAAGTACATAGTGCTTTCAAGTGAGCATCAGTTAGTTTCTAAATATTTAGACTGCTGATTTTGTAGGCATGTGTCCTTTAACCTATCAGGTTTTGCTCTAGATGAGTGGCTCTTAATACTGTTTTTAATAGCATAACATTATATTACCTGGCATGATATACAATTTATGATTTGAATTTATTCATTATTGCTACCTGAGAAAAAAAGAGGTCCTTTCTCATATGTCCCTTTTACAGCGCTATAGGGAGAGGGAGTAATGCTGTGAAATCATCTGTAAGTGGAAAAGCAATAAAAGTGTAAATCACTGACATTGAAAATGTTTGGAATTTATTTTAGAGGCCTTGATGCTCTGAGCAAGAAAGCAAAGGCTTCCACAGTAGATCTGCCTATAGAGTCCGTAAGTCTGAGTCTGAGGGATCTGATTGGCTATTTCCACCCCCCTGATGAGCATTTAGAACATGAAGACAAACAGAACAGACTACGTGCCCTGAAGAATCGGCAAAATCTCTTCCAGGAAGAGGTAAATTTCTATCAATGCTCACTTCTTTGCTCTTGTTCTCTTAGCAAAGCAACTTGGTGGGGAAAATTCTCCTTCTCTTGAATGTTCTTGTATTTTGAGGTATGGAGGAGAAGGTATACTTCTGAACAGAGGAAACAGGCCTTGGAGGAATCTGGATGTTATTTTTGTTTCTTTATCTATGAATATTAATTTTTAAAAATGAAGTTGTTTTTTTTTGCCGGGTGCTGTGTTTCAAGCCTGTAATCCTAGCATTTTGGAGGCTGAGGTGAGAGATTGCCTGAGCTCAGGAGTTTGAGACCAGCCTGGGCAACTTGGTAAGACCTTGTATCTATGATAAATCAAAAATAAGCCAGGCGGGCTGGTACATGCCTGTAGTTCCAGCTAGTTGGAAGGCTGAGGCAGAAGGATCGCCTGAGCCCAGCAAGTTGAGGCTGCGGTGGCTGTGAGCATGCCACTGCAGTTCAGTCTGGGCAACGGAGTGAGACTCTGACTAAAAAAAAAAAAAAAGAAGTTTTTCATTTCCCTGGCAAGAGACATCTACTGTTTCCTCGGTCCTCACTCTGGCCATGTGAAAGCACTATAGTTCTCTTCATGTTGATTACATCAATACAGAATCTTAAAAGTATCTGAGTGAACACAGGCTTTAGAAAGCATCAGGGTTCTCAAGTTCTTGGGGCCTTTTTGGAAATGATTCTGGGTCCACGGGGAGCTTCGCCTTGGGGATGGCAGCTGCCCAGGAGAGGGCCACCCGCTGATGCTGATCTCTGGGCACCCTAGTTGGACAGAACAACTCCACTATTTTCTTTTGCATATGCGGTATTACATTTCCATGTGTGATTTCATTTCACCAAAAGCTCTATTGCTAAAAAGAGCTCAAGTGTCGTAATTTAAAACAGAATAAATGAAGGACCAAAAAATGTGTCTAATGGCTTAATGCTAGCGTTGGAAATAGTACCATATATTCAAGAGATTCAGTGGGTGACTACCAGGGTTGATGAGATAAATCAGGCTAGCTCAGCAAGGGATCCCATTCTTCTCAGTGCACCATGGGTAGGGAAGAAAAAACTTTATAAAACTATCTAGGAAAAAAGACTGGGGGGCTTTGCTGAGTTCCCATAATCCCTAAATCTGTGTTCTAGTTTTAAAGCTGTTTTCTAACATCCCGTCAGAAGCCCTCAAATTGACATTAATCTTTGAGGACTTTCTCACTTTTTATACACAAGAAATGACCTGTCTGGAAACCATAATGGCATTAAAGCAAAGGAAATGTCAACATAAACTTACATCGACAGCATGGAATAGTTTATTGAGAGCTATTCTTCTCATGTATGCCAAGTTGTTGGACTATTTACTATACTGCATTGATTTATTATCAGGAAGAAGTAAAAATAAATACTGGGCTGTGAGAACTTAAAATACTGATTTAGGATAGTTGTTTTTTTTTTTTTCTCAATCTGAATGAGGATTTAAAAATGTTCTTAGATCCACGTGAAATTCTCTGTGTGAAATGTGAATTTGATTAGTCAATGGTTTATAGCTCTTCCTTTCATTCACTTTACCTCATTTTGACAACCTAGATCTACCACTAAAATAAAAGTATAATACCAAATTTAGGCCATATCTTCTGAAGCTCGATAATGAATCAGTATTGATTTGTTTTAAATGTCTTTTCATGAGCTTTTCTTTATTTACTTTACTATATTTTTAATTTGGTGGTAATAATAATAATTATAATAAAACCTATCTAAGAATAAAGGTCTGTGCTTGTCCTTACTTAACAATAGAATAATTAACTATGAAGTAGGTATTTCTATATTGTTTTTCTACTCTTGTTTGAGAATGACACTCAGGATTAGAATCCTCTTGAACTATTTGAAAAATATTTTATGTAACATGCAGACGTGTTTCTTCCTGTCTTTCGAATGAGCGATCTGTTTCCTTTATGATTAATAGACATAGTTTAGGCTAGACTTATGTTAAAGAATCAGCTTAGCTTTTTAGTCTGTGAGGAGAATACCAGTTTCTGATTTTTTTTTTTTTCTTAAACCTTTCAGGGAATGATCAACCTCGTGCTGGAGTGCATAGATCGATTGCATGTCTATAGCAGCGCAGCGCACTTTGCTGATGTCGCTGGGCGAGAGGCAGGGGAATCTTGGAAGTCCATTCTGAATTCTCTGTATGAGTTGCTGGGTAAGAAGTGTGATTAAGTTCAAGACAACGGGGTTATGTCTGTTTAAAATGATCGTGTAATAGCTGCAGCAGTTTTATAACGTGCTTCCTAATTGAGACGTTTAATTTTTAATTTAGTTGGAGTAAGTCTAATGATGTTTAATATTGAAATCTATCTCTGAGTGAGAAAGGAAGCCAGAACGGTGATCCACCTTTGATTAATGGAGGGGAAAGTCATCAAGGGTGCATGGTACAGTTTATGTCTGCGAGGGGCCTCTGTGTGGGTATGTATTAAGTGTTTCCTTTTTGGTTCTGGTGTTAATTCCACTTCGTCGCAATTCACTCTTACTGGGAACTCTTCCAGTCTTTCTCTCTCTCCTTGCGTTGGCAACTACTAAGGCTGCTTGATGTTGGTTGAGTGGCAGTTATGACGTTCTAAACATGTTAACACCTCTGCATTCCTATGGGCTGTGTGCAAACATAGGTCCTCATTATTTTGGACCTGCAGTTGCTTCTACTTGTCTCCTGTCAAAAACGGTGACAAGTTTGAGACTTTACCCAATTTGCAAGCTAGCAAGTTAGCCTGCAATTAGGGTAAAGAGGAATCATTTATTAGTCAAAGCAATGGTTGTAGCCAGAATGTGAACATGTTTTGTGCCAATTCTCTGAGCCCCAGTTCTCACAGGACAGTGTGAAGGGGACAGATGGCAACTGCGCATGCAGTTGGTTGAGTTACAGGGTACAGGAAAGAAAATCAGAGCTTAAGGAGCCTGAGTCAGTTTTACTGGACAGAAAGCCTGCCTGCGTTGCTCTGGATGGAGACATCCCCTCCTTTCAAGGTGGCTGGCTGCAAACATCCTTGAAAAGACATCCTGAAACAAAGGTTTTCAGTGGCTCCTTTGCAACACTTGCAAAAACAGAGATCGTGAGGAGTTGTGGAGTGGTCTCTTTCTCTATTTTAGCCCTCACCTCTAAAATCTTAGATTCCTCCAGTAAGTTGTTACTACACATCTCTTCCCTGTTTAGAAAACTTTCATGTTTCCCCATGAAGAAGGTAGAGTTCACCTTATTTCACCTGATCTCTGAGACTCCGGGTAACCCTTCCAGCCTTGTATTTCCCCAGTCCCCTTACTTCCTCTCCTTACTTGAGCCACATTGTAGCTATCTGAACATCCTGAACACATTCACACCAGAGTATATTTTCATACTCTCACTTTTTCTGAAATTCCGTCAAATTTCTTCAAGACTCAGTTCACAGCTCATTGTCTTTAAAAATGACTCTTACGGGGGATGGGACTAATGGTAGTACACATCTGTCTGGGGACGGGGAGACACCTGTTATCAACCAGGGGGCACGAATGAAGCATATTTATATACCTAACCCTTAACTGTACCCCACAATATCATAATAAAAAATATTGATTAAAAAAAATTTTAAAAATAAAATGACCCTTGATATTTCTACCAACTTAAGTATAATTAAACCTGTATTGTAGCACTTACCATACTTCTTTAGTTATAGGTGTGATTCATTTCAAAGGCAAGAGTAGCACGTTACTGTTTTCTGTGTCTGTCATTTAATGTCTGGCACATAGTAGATTTTCAGTAAATGTGTGCTCATTAAATGACTGCGTCCTAATAGAATAGGAAAGTATACATAGGTATGGAAAACAGATAATGCAAAAAAAGTTTTTAAATATGAGAGAGGATATATTTTTAATGTGAAGAATAAAGAGTAAGCAAATTATTTAAAAATTCTTTATAATCTTATTGGACATCAGTCAAATTTATAGAGTCATAAAACAGCAAATAAAACTCATGTATCTATTAGAATTTTTAACATGTTTTCCTTAGGCAGATTATTTGATGTCATTAAAATTAAGCAATTGAGTGCTTTCAGACTAAGGGGTAACATGTGGCTAGCATTTCTTCAAATAAGACCGGGGCATTGAGGCTTTATAGGAATTTGGATTTATTATTTTACCCACAACAATCATCAAGAGAAGGCTTTTGTGACTCCAAAAGTCTGAAAACTGCATTTCTCTGCAAATGTGGAAGTTATGAACACTAAATTTCTGAATGTAGTAGAGACTGAAGTGTAGTAGTGTTTTTGACATCATGGTGTAACTTCTTGACTTGGTATGACACCACGTGAATTTGTTGGGCAAACTAGATGTGTTAGGTAAAGAGTTGCTTATAGCTGCGGCAAAACAATGACACCCTGTCACTTACACACACAAAAAGAAAATTAGCTGGGCACAGTGGCTTGCACTTATAGTCTCAGCTACTCACAAAGCTAAGGTGGGAGGATCACTTGAGCCTAGGAGTTTCTAGAGCATTATGGACAACATAGTGGAATCCTGTCTCTAAAAGAAGAAAACAAGAGTTGTATAATTCATTGGTGTTTGAGGGTAGAAAGGGTTATGTGCAGCAAGAACATTGTTCTAGGTAAATCTAGATAATATGCATCTTCCTTATATTTTCATGTCAATTCCTTTCATAGTCTTTCTTGGTCCCTTCAACAGGTTATGTATTCATGAATTGCAAAAATGAGCAAGGATTAAAATGATTTCTTAAATAATCATAGAAAAAGTCAGTTTCTGCCAAGTGTTAACTGTATCTTTCTGAGTGACTTTTTCTCAAGGTTATACTCCCTTTAATTCTACAAAGTTATTTGGGGATTAAGTTTGATTATTTGGAAGGAGCATAGATGTTCTCTACAAAATGCTGGGGACTTGGTGGGTGTGAGCACAGTTCCTCCTTGTAGTTTTGTGGTTTTTATTGAAACATGGCTAGAGATGTGATTTTAGAATGGTTTACCTGGCTGGGTGCTAATGGCTCATGCCTGTAATCCTAGCACTTTGGGAGGCACAAGTGGAAGGATTACTTGAGCCCAGGAGTTCGAGGCTGCGGTGAGCTATGATCATGCCACTGCACTCCAACTTGAGTGACAGAGTAAGACCTTGTCTCTAAAAGAAAAAGAAAAAGATATATCTTTACATATATATATAAATTATTTACCTATTTAAATAGAACAGGAAAGAGCAGTTGTTGTAGGTGGAATGATGTTTCTACTGGGATATGGTCAATTGGAAATGATGGAATATCCAAATTCAAACTGACTTTAATATCAGAGGGGAATTTATTGGTTTGCACAACTGGCAGCCTACCAGTGGGTTTGACTTAATGGTGCTGTCTTACCTCCAGAACCAGTTTCTTTATGTCTCTGCTCTGCCTCCCTGAGTTCCTCTTCTTCCAGTGTTGGCTTCTGTTTATAGCCCCAGCTGGCTGCTGTCAGTTCCCTGTGCTGCTAATTCTCTGACATGAACAGGTTGAAGGAGGGCTTCTGAAGTCATATCCTGAGAAAAATCATGCTATTTCCCAGAGCCCCCAAAGAAACTATTCCTCACATCTTATTAGCCCCAACTGCGTCTGTGGCCATTCCAGCAAGGGGAGGGGAATTTTACCAACACTAGCTTTGACAGGGACTCACTCCAGAAACTTGAGTCAAGCCCTTTGGCCACCTGGTTCCCATACAGGAAATGACTGTCATAGGCAATGCTGGCCAAGAACTGAAGTGTCTAGCACAAATGTTAAATCATACGATTTACTTATCCAAATAGTTTTATGAAATGAATTATTGTATCAGAATACTTTTATTCACTCCCTAGCATGTTGCTTAAACAGAGTAGGCACTCAATAAACATTTATTTAAATTATTTCAACAAATATATTACAGCAATCCCCATTGATTTTTCTATAGTAGGGTGGATTTGGCCATCAATTCACTTTATTAAAAACTAGTAGACCTATTTTTCCTCTTCCGTTAGATCCTCTTGAAACACAAGAATCTAACCTTTCATCCATAGGCAACAACCTCTGAGAAAATGACCCTCCTCCTTACCAGTCACTGTTCAGAACTTCAGCTCTGCTACTTGTGGGATTTTGGACAGATTTCTAAATTTGTGCTCAATTTCCTCATCTGAAAAGCGGAAGAAATAGCAATGCTTATTTATTTAGGGTGAGAATGTTGAGACACTTAGAAAAATGCCAGGCACATAGGAAGTAATACCTATTATTATTATTACAAATATTAGCTATAAAATGACAATAATCATTCCCCTCATAGGGTTGTTGGATGGCTTAAATGAGGTAATGGATACAAAACGTTTAGTATCGTATATGGATTGTTCTTCTTATCATGATTCTACTTCTTTTTTTATACTTGTCATCCTTTTCCTTTTTAACATAGTAAAACTTTCTTCTCCCACCTCTACTTTCACTTTTCTTGTTGTTGTCCTTCAAATATGTCTTAGAAATTTCACTTGGACCTTGTGTCAGTCTGCTATAAAGAAATACCTGAGGCTGAGTAATTTATGAAGAAAGAGGTTTATTTTGGCTGACAATTGTGGCAAAAGATGAAAAGGGGGCAGGCTTGCCACATCACAAGAGCAGAAGCAAGAGAGAGAAGGGAGGTGCCAGGCTCTTTTAAACAACCAACTCTCATGTGAATGAACAGAGCTAGGAGCTCATTACCTTGAGGACAGCATGAGCTATTAATGAGGACTCCGCACCTATGATACAAACACCGTTCAATGGGCCCCATCTCCAACACTGGAGATCACATTTCAACTCGAGATTTGGAGGGGACAAACATCCAAACTATATCAGACCTGTTGAACATAACAAGGAACGTTCTGGATTAGCCGATTGAAGGAAGACATAGAATCATTGTAGATATACACAGGCTTTTGGTTTCCTCATCAGAAAATGGGGGAAGGAAAATTATTGTGACCTACGGACTGAAAATTTTATATTCTATTATTCTACCCATTTGTATCCTTAGCATCTGACATACAGCTAAATACCTAAGATCTCAACGGTACTTAGATACTGTAAGATTTCTAGTTAATCTGCCTTACTGCTTTCCACAGAGGTTGCGCTAGTTTACACTCCCACCAACAGTGTACAAGTGTTCCCTTTTCACCACATCCTCTCCAGCATCTGTTAAAAGCTCTAAA